AAAAAAAAGGAAAAAATAGAAAAGCTTACAAATAGAAACAAAATCAAATGCTACTTTAAATTAAAGCCATGTTGACATCTAATGGCATCTCCCCTTGCTTCACTGTGGCCACATCTGCTGCATCCACCTAGCGGCTCTGCAAAGCCCTGCACTCCATCCACCAGGGCCAGACCCAATTCAGTGATAAATTCCCCCCAGAGCCTCACTTTGCCCTCAGCATGGGCAGCAGGTACAGCAGCACACTGCTGTGCCCATGAGAACATAGACAAGGCTGACCAATGCATGAAGCACACTGCATCCTCTAGAGGCAAAGCTTTGTTAGCAGCAAGTTAATTAACAGCATAGCAATAATGAGCTGCTTCCCTAGGGCAGGCAAGGCACGCAGCTTCCAGTGGGCTGAGAATAACCTCTGAGCTTCACTGCTGCCAAGGGGCAAGCGGTGGCCAAGAGCACCCATGCCAAAGTCACTCCCATGAGCAAGATACAGACTCATAACTCAAATCATTACTCATTTAGCACCAGCCAAGCCACCAGCAACATGGGGATGTACAGATCCAAATCAGTTCAATACTTTGCTGTATGCTCCCCCAGCTATCAGAAAATCTCCACTATCTGAATCTCCTCAGCATAATACACCCAAGGAATTTTCAGAGGATCTCCTTGCTGATACCATCCTTGGTGGTCAGATTCATTTCCGCCCTGCAGCAGAACAGACACCTGCTTGCCCCTTATCACACTGCGTATCACAAGATGGGTAACAAAAGTAAGCAATGAACACACCATGGAATAGCTGAGCAGCTCTGAGCTTACTGAAATCCAAGCCTCACTGTATTTAGCTTTGAGCAAAAAAGAGAGCTGGCCACCAGCATTAGGAGAGCAGCCAGAGGATTAAACTTTTCCGATAATGAAACTGAAAACGCAGAGGCAGTGCACCCAGCTGCCTATCCCATAGCTGTACTGCATTAAAAGTACAAAGAAACCCATCTGAGCATCTCAAAGGGAATGATTCTGCAAACCACGCTGCCATTTCAAAGCCTCCCTCTGAAGACTCTCCCCAGCCCCAGCACAGAAAGAAATCCATTAGCAGATAGGAAAACATGGCAAGGCTCCCTGCTGCCATCCGGGCAGTGCAGCCCCCAGTCAGCTGCCTTAACAGCAGCACACGCTGCACCCACCCCAATAGGAACTGAATAACTGGGTATGGAGACAGGGCATCTCCATCCCCACCAAAAGCTCCTTTACTTACAGACCGTTGAACTTCACTCCCGCGCATGGGCAGGTGCTGCAGACAGAGCTGCTGGCTGTGAGGGGAGCAGAAGAAACTCAGCAGTATCAGCTGTACTGAGTACTCTTGTACCCAGAGGTGCAGGTCTGATATGTTTTTGAGTGGTAAGTTTGTCGGTGTTTTACATTATTTGCTATGAGCTTGTAGAACTAACCAGAAAGATCTCATGTTCCTTTGAAGCCTGCTCCCATTCCTAGATTTGGTCGTGCTACAAACATCAGTTCCACATTATGTTCACATCCAACCTCATTTACACCAGCAGGTAAAGCTCCCAGATGTACAGTGCAATACAGATAGCAAAGATGAAATCCAAATCCTTTTCTCTGATGACTTACACCTGCAGAGCATCCCCCACTCTGAGTGGAGGAGATGGCTGGAGCCTCACCCCCAGCCACCCATCTATTTCCACATGGGTCTCACCAGGCTACAAACTGCTTCTTGCTCAGTCTGCTATGATGGGTTGAAAACCCCAATGAGTTACAGGAAGGAAAAAAAGCATTGGGGAAAAATATTGACATAGACCAACTGTCTGTCTGTGCTGAGTTAATAATCTTCACCTCAACTCTGCAACCTTACAAAATAAAATTGCAGTGCTGGCTTCTGGGAGGGGATCCCAGAGGACGTCAGCTATGTGACACCCAGACCTACTGTGTCTGATGTAGCTCCTACAAGAGAGAAAGTCCCAACTCCAAGAGGCATGGGGGTTGGATATCTCATGAAGTTTATTCATGCTGTGTTAGACCGTCCTTGTTTGTGGTAGGAAGCACAGGCTGATAGTGATAACTACGTTCGTGGTTAAAATCACAAGAAGAGAGGGAAGCACCAGGCACGTTTTCAATATGGACCCAAAACACTGGGAAGAAGTAGTGCCATAAGAACCATACCAAAAGTCCAAAAGACAGACAAGGGTGGCAGTGTTTATGTTCAGGCTATCATCCCAATAAAGGGATGGAAGACAAGTTTTCCATAATTCCAGAGGATTTTCATGACAAATAACCTTCCCTTATGCTTCATAACATACAGCAAGTTGAATTTGGAAAGAAATTTTCATGCCAAGGTCAGAAATAAAGGGGCTGAGACAAAAAGCCAGCACAAGAGCAAAGCCACATGTTTCCAGAGAAAACTCCTGTGGCATTTTAGGCTTCGATATGGTGTCTGAAGCCAATCATATTTACAGGATAACAGTAAATACAAGTGCTTGCTTCCAGGTATGTTCTTTGAAACTCAATATGTGCCAATAAGTTTAACAGAGAAACTTCCATTCCAGCACAGCTACAAGAAATTGCATTCTATCACTTAAGGGCAAAGATGTATGCCCCAGATCCCAACTGAGCTGTGTTATAACTGCCAGCTCCTCCATCACTGCCCCGTTACTCTCTGAGCAGCTCATAGCTCAATTGTAAGAAGTCACTCTGGGCTCTGGTTGACACAAGAGTTTTAGCTGAGCAACAGCAGTACTTCAGGATTTAAAAACCCCAGTGACCATTCTCTTTAAGTGACAATTGCTAAACACTTGGCTTGCTTGCCTTGAAAATTTTCCTCTGCCCTGCTATAACACAGAAACATCTCTAGAGCAAAGAAAAGAATCACACCAGTATTAAATAATCAAGGAGGAGCTATGTTAAAGTACCTAACTATAGATGGCACTGATACATTCCAACTGCTATATCAAAGTAATGAATAGTTTGCCAATGCTCAGTGACTTTGTGGTTTGGGTTTGTTGTTTTTTTAATCTTAAAGTCAGTCAGTTTATATATTGGTCTAGCAAAGGATGGGTACCTAATGGCTCTACTGCCATGGCTTGCAGTGACATTAGCAGTGCACTGTGTACTTATCCTTTCACAAACACATTCTCAGCAGACAGATCAAGGTCTCAGTGTCTGGCAACAAAAGTGACAGCCCTGCCAAAAAATGCATGCTTAACATTGTTCCAACAGAAGTACAATAGAGGAAACACTGGAATCACTCTAGGATCACACAGCAACACAAACTACTGGTGTACACTTACATGAGTGCAACCCAACTTCCCAGAGATTTGGTCCTTGTGAAACCACTCAGGTGCCACTATGCATCTACGGGCTGTGAAATAACGTGGTGACACATCTCAGGCAACCACCAAGCAAGAGTGGCTCAGAAAACAGCTGAGAAGAGAGCCTCTAGCTGAATGCCACAGAGCTCAAAATCCATAATCTGATACATTTCCAAAGCCCCAAAAAGATAAGAGTTACAGTGCAAGTACTACGATGACCTACATAAACACAGATCTTTTGTAAACAGCAGCCAAGAATGACAGGAACAAGCAGCTAACAGGAAAACATGATAGATTTTAATCATCACTGGCTTTAAGCAAAGTATAACACCTTTGCCCCCATCCCCAGCTCCACACTACCTGCACAGATCAATCAACTGCGTCTCAAGAAAGCCTCCTCTGCAAAACAAATATTACGTTACCACATTCCATTTGCCCTTGGTGTTCAATCAGAACAGCAGCTTTTCTGAACAGGAAAGCCTCAGTTTCACAGGAGGTTCAGAAATTCACACAGCGTGTTTTTAGAACATCAGGTCTCTCCTAATAAGTAGTAAGTAGCCTCAACCCCGGGATTAAACACAGCCCAGCTAGAACGAGTTACCCAAATGAGAAAAACTAGACCTCCTTGAGTACATCAGAAAGCACAGATGAGAAACATGTTTGGTGGGCACAGCAGCGATGGGTTGATGGTTGGATTAGATGAGCTGAGAGTTCTCCAACCTTAATCATTCTGATTTTAAGTATATGCCTATACTTAGCATCTACTTAGAGGTACATTTTAGTAACGATAGAAGAGGAAGAAACAGTTTTCTTCCCTACCCCAGCCCACAAAACTTGAACTATAGATGGTCTCCATCTATCTCCCAAGGATGCTCAACATGCTGAGACAAAGCCGCCACCAGGCAATGCAACTCTGAATCCCACTGCATTATATGCTCAAGAAAAAAAACACAGGTCTTCATTTGAATGAGCGAGGGTGGTATTTTTTCCCTCTGTTAGTTTTCAGCACAGTCCCTGGAGCACCAGGGAGCCAAGGGACAGCTGAAAAGCACACCCTCTAAGAACGACCCAAAGTAGGCAAAGCACTCAATAAGAAAAAAGACACCAAAACATCTCAAGCCCTGATCTCCCATCCCACCTACAAGGCTGATGCTGGGGCAAATCCAGAATTTCAGTTCTGAGCAATGTCACATACAGAAAGAAGAGTTGGACTCACCCAAACTGGTGAAGGGGCTTTCTCATCATGCAGCACTCCTCCCCAACAAGAAGCCCAAGTCCAAAAGACACGCTCCCTTCAATAACCAGCCCTTATCTGAGTCCAGGGCTCTAAACCCTGCTCCATCCCTTCTGCCCAGGTAAAGAGCACAGGTGCAAACACTCTGCCTGTGCTCTCTGGGCCAATCACTCCTCTTCACCAGGTGCTCAATTACCAGTTCAAGCCCTGACCTAATAGCTTCCCCACAGCTGACCTTTCCAATCTTACTATTTCTGTGATTCTGATGCTTAGTCCCCCCAGACACCAGTTTCAAGTGCTCTGAAAAGTTTTAAAACAGAGAACTGAGGTGAAAGGAGAAAGGAGCTGGAAATCTGAGCCCTTGGGGACTGTTGGCTGTAGGAAAGGGGTAGCTTGCTTCCAGGACACAACCAAGCCCTACTGCAGCCAGGAGCACAAAAAAAACAACTCACAGTTGCCGAGAGTTTTCCTCCATTCTTCTGCACGTAGATGACTGCGTCCCGCACCAGGGAGAAGAGGTTCAGGAGGACGTGCTCCATGTCATAGACACCACGCATGCCCTTGGTCAACCCCTCCAAGGAGCTGATGTAATCTCTCCAGTGACGGTCGATCTCACCAACCCCTGCCAGGCACCCATACGTCACCACACCGCAGTACCCAGCGCAGGGCTTGGCCAGGAGCAGCCCCTGGCAGTGCGAGCAATACCACATCTTGAGCAGCGCCCGCCCGCACTCTTTGCTGAGCTTCAGGTGGTCGGTGGTGTTTATCACCTCGATTCCCAGGTTGAGTGCCTGCAGAAAGACCCGCGTGGCCTGCAGTGACTTGGACACCTGCGTCATCATCATCTTCGGGTAGTTACCAAAGGCCTTGAGGTCTCTCCTGGCTGCGCGCAGGCACTCAGTCATTTCCACCGAGGGATCCGGGAAGCCAGGATTGATCAAGTGGGAGTAGACCAAAGGAAATAAACTATCAAAAAATTCATTGATCATGTCATTAACGCTGATGTCAGAGCCCAGTATGTACAGCGAGACATCCGTGAAAAGTTCTCCAACAAACTTCAGAGCTCTGGGCCCCATGCTCTTGTAGTGGTTCCTAAACATGCTGTTGGTGAAGTTCCTTGCGTGCCTCACTACGATCTCAAAGGCTTCTGCAAAAGAAAACAAAACAAAACGGGTGATTAGGAGATGAGCTCAGAAACAGGGGGGATAACTTCAGGTCCTATCACAGCTGCAGAGGCTGCTCCCATCCTGACCAGTGTGGGTCAGCCATGCCTGCTGCAATACTGATCATCTTCAGCCATTAGGATATTAGGAAACATTTATTCTCAGGAAGAGCGGTGCTGCACTGGCACAGCTGCCCAGGGAGTGCTGCCCTGGAGGTGCTCCAGAACCATGGGGATGTGGCATTGAGGAATGTGGTGATGGGGGTTGGGGTTGGACTTGGGGATCTTGGAGGTCTTTTCCAGCCCCAAAAACAATTTCCAGGTGAACGCCCACATCCTTTAAGCATGAGCTGCATTTCAAAATTGCAAAAACAAGGATCTAGTTAACATTTCAGTTTTTAAAGAAAATATTGATCCAAGAAAAGGGCTAGACTGCAATTTTGCTCTCTCCCTCTTTCCATATTGATTTGAAATTAACAGGAATTCTATCTTCAGACAGTTTAAGACAGAGATAAATGTTTGACAATCTACAGTGTTCAAAATCAGGGAACAGTAAATGCCGACATTACATTATGAAAAGTAAAAGATGTAGGAGTTTAATCACAGAGAAGATTCAGACCTAGCTGGTAGCACCACATGTCCTCATGCCACCTGAAAGGCCTCTGCAGCTCCTTAGCTCTCCTGAATCCACATTTTATCCTCCCTGGACACAGCAGGCCCATGGCCCAATAGCGATGCTGAGCCTCCACCTATGGGTCTCTGACACCCCATGACGCTGCTGCTCTCAGCCGTGTCACTGTGAAAACCTGCACCCAGTGCACCCAGGCTCGATTTGCATGGAAATTATCCATGTTCAATAATTAAAGGGCGTGTTTAATTTTTAAAGCCATAAGTTCCATTTTTTTTTCTCTTTGTTAAGTCAGAGATGCATCTGTGCGTGGTCTGACTCCTCCACACAGGGATCCAGGATCAGCACAGCCACAGGCGGTGCTGGGTCCCCAACAGCTCCCAGACCACCCCCAGGACTCCACACTGCTTCCCCTGAGCACAAACCATGCACACAGGGACCTGATGCTCCCTGCTGTCTCCCATTCCGGCACGCAGAAAACTACGCTGTGAGCACTGATTGGAACAGAAATGACCAAACGCAACCATTCAGACCACATTTTCACCTGCCTGGTGCCAGCAACCCCACCAGAGCAGCAGTAGGAAAGCAGATTTTGGCTGCTCCGCTATAGCAAGTTTTAAAGGAAAAAAAAAAAAAAATTCTTTAAATAGGACACAGGGATTATGAAACTTTTTTTCTCCTTTATCCTCAAGAGCACCAGAATAGCTTTTGCCTGAACAAAGAACACAAAGCACTTTTTGGGGCAGCGTTTTTAACAGTGCCAGGATTCTCATGCTGTGCTCACGGCTCGACTTTAACCTCCTCTCTGTGAGTTCCCTTATAAAAAGTCACCCCGTCTTCCCTCTCCTCGCTCCTCTGTGCTTTGCAAGTTACCATCAGAGCCGAGGGACCCTTCGCTGATTAGAAAAATATTCCAGGCTCCAATGCAAGGCTCCTACAGTGAGAGATGCTGCAGAAAGGAACTGAGAGCAGCGTGCATCAGAGCAGCACGCACACACAGTCCCACTGCTTCAAGGGTCGTGACACGCACATCGTTTTTCTCATCAAGCTGCCTGAGAGTGCCTATTTCGTGTGCCTCGGAGCCTTTGCATATACCCATTAGAGAGCGCAACAGGCACAACAAAGGCACACGGAGCCTCCTGCTGCCCTGCTAATAGAAGTGAGAAATAATAAAACTTGGTCCAAAAAAAAAAAAACCCAAACAAAAAGCCTCCCAGATCCAAAATATCTCACACCCAAATCCCCTGGCAGTTGCTACAAGAGGACTAAAACCCAGGCACAACCCAGAGCCGTGCTGTGAGTGCTTCAAAGCGCAGGAAGTGTGTGGGTCAGCCCCCGTGCTCAGGGCTTTGCTACTGGGAAAAACTCATATCATGGCACTCCTGCAGTTCTGACTGCTGGGGAACAATTCAGGCTTTTATTTCTCTTTCTTTCTTTTTCATTTCAAGGATACCGTCAAACCCTGCCATTTAAAGATGCTGGTCCTCAGCTCTTGCCGAAGCAGAGCAAATATCCTGACAGCAGTGATGGGGCACGCTGGCAGACTTGCACCTACCTTCCACAGCACAGGGTTCACGTGTTACTGTCTCCATCACTGTAACTGTGCGTGCATCACAGAGCTCAACCACTCTGCAATGCCCCAGGGTGGGAGGGAACGGCCTCAAGCTGCACCAGGAGAGGTGCAGGTTGGATAGTGAGAACAATCTCTTCACTGAAAGAGCAATGGAGCACAGGCTGCCCAAGGAGTCACTGTCCCTGGAGGCTTTCCAGAACAGTGGCACTGAGGGACGTGGTCAGCAGGCAATGTTGGCAGTAGATGGATGGTTGGATCAGATGACCTTGGAGGTCCTTTCTAACCTAACTATTCTAACTTCTCATTGCCAGGTGAAACCAAGGGAAGTGGTGCAGGACATGAGGCACAGCACCCCCAGCTGCAAAGCTCCATAGCTGTGCTGTAGATATAGTGATGAGCTCTGGCAAGGGTGGTTTATTAGGGATATAAAGGATGGATGAAACAGTGAAACCTTTACTCCAGAGCACATTTATCAGGCAAGAACTGAAAAGTGTGGGCTTCCCTCCAGCCCCTGGGGGTGAATTGCAATGGTCAAGAAGGAAGGACGATGCTGTGCCACCATCACATTGGCACATATGGGCAGGTGCCATCTCCAATAGGATCTTGTGGCACGTGAATTCATGTGTTCCTAACTCAATCGGGTGAAGTTCCTACCTTCAGGTCCAGGGTTTCAAATGGTCTAGAGTCCCATATGTTTAAAATAAATGCTCAGCCACAAGAAGCCATACCACACGCTTTAGCATTCACAGAGGGAAATTCCAATATTCATCAAGAAAATCCCCCAAGTTTTTGCTTTTTTGCAAGCTCGCCAAGACATTTTCTGACATGGCAATTGCTGTGGTACTGCTGGGAAACTGAGAAAGCAGCCATAGGCATCCATGTGTGAGTGAGGTCTGGAGAGGGAAATATTTCTTTAATACCTCATGGCAGCAGCCTGTATTCCTGAAAGACACACAAAGGAGCTCACCAAGAGAGAAACAACTGTTTGCAATAATGGCCTGGCTGCCACAGGCACTGCTGGTGAGACGAACTGTGAGCCATTTTTCAAACAGCAGGTAATATTTATTTACAAACTTGGAAAAGGTTTGCAGTATATTGAGCAGAAAGGAAACAAAACCCAAGAGTTTTTCCCCTGGCAGCAATAAGAGCAGACTCCAGATTTGTTCTTTTATGATTTACACTACTGTGCAAGTTTTTAACAACATTATCTGGAGACAAAAGCTCTTCTAGGCAACATAATTACTTTTGTCTGTAGCACTGCAAAGCCCATCAGATGGTGCCACTGCTGCTCTTACAAGGTTTCTCTGAACACATTTGGAGCTTAGGAAATGGGTTTTTCACCCCTCGACTATGAGACAGCCATTTGGATTACTTTTGCAATAGTGTCATGATAAAATTTATGGACTCGAGCTCCCAAGGATTATGAGATTAGCTTCAAAGCATTTGTAATAGAAATTAAAACAGTTTAATTATTCTGTCTTCCCGCTTTCAAGCCATCAGGGCTCACATTTTCTCCCTTTGCTCCACCACCATTAGAGCAAAGAGGAGAGGTCTGTGTCCATTCTCCACATCAGAGGGGGCTCCTCTCCCCCATGCCCTCCCACAGGATCCAAGGTAGAGGTTTCCAAAGGCAGACCTGCTCACCAGCCAAAGCCGTACAATTCTGCTCATCAGAGAGCATCTTCTCCTAATTATCTGCGCCCATCAAAATGCCAGGCTCAAAACCCATTCATTTTAATTGTTCAGCTTATTTAGTGCCCTGGCATTTGGAAACACACTCCCTGAAGTTTTTCATAAAAATACTGAATGCTAACTCCTCATTAGACCCACACCAAATGCCTCAAGAACACGCTCCCATTGCACTGCAGGTAGCCATCCGACTGCGAGCAATTAGTCACGCTGCGGCTCACCCAGTTATTATTCATATCCTACACACAAACCCCTTAATGTCAGGGCTCCGAGGTGCCACTCTCCACGTGGGCTTCCCAAGAAGAACTCCCAAGACAGACCACCTGACAAAGAACTCCTCAAAGGAGAAGTCTTTCCAGGAGCTTTGTGCTTGACACGCGTCTGCAGCGCTGTTGATTAAATATGGGTTGCACATCTATTGTATAATTTGTTTTTCGGAGCATCAAGGAATATTCTGCTTTGTGCCTTGACAGATGTGTGAATGCTTAAGAGAGTCGTGAAAATTTAATAAAGACAAAGTTAAAAATGCAAACAGTCAAGGCTGGCACGAGGGGAGGATGAACATGATTCTTTATCAAAGCCAAGGGGAGCGGGGGGAATAAGGGCAGGCTCAGCTGAAGCTGAGGAAGCACAGGAAGGAAAGGCAGAGAGGGATGTATGGGGCTTCTGCTGCAAGAAAGTGGCTCTTTTTTTAGGGGCAGTGGACGGATGGCAGGATAGGCCTGGTGAGTTGAGATTGGACTGGATGATCTTAGATGACTTTTCCAACCTTAATGACTCTATGATTCTATTTGGAGACTCTTGTTATGAGAAGATGTTAATCTGCACCATCCACTTGTGTAGAGGGCAGTGGAAGCACAGAGCTGGCAGGGTTCAGGGCCAGGGAGGAGCATTTCTCTTTCACTGAAATATGCACACTCCCAATATTTCATATCTTCCTCTCTCCCTCTAAAGGGAAAAAGTTAATTAAACCAATCCAAGAGGACAAAACAAATCACTGAAAGCACCAAGCTTTTGTTAGGTTGTAATTATATCAATAATGTGCTCAGAACGAATGTCACATCACTGGGGAACTCTCACCTTCACCGTTGTTAC